CGGCAGCTGCAATCAGCTGCATCACATCATAATCTCTCTTTGGCCGACTCGAGCAATGTCTCAATTCCAGACTTTTGGAAGCGTTCTTCTGCCGTTGTCTTGGCATTTCAGGGTACTTTTTTCAACCTCCTCGCTCCCTCCAATCACTAACTCTTGAATCTTTAACCATAAATCCTAAAACCCTGTATTTTAGCAAGACATCCCTAAAACCCCTAAAACGTTCCTCACTCGAACCCAGAATAAAAGCTCTGTCTCCGTTCCCGCCCTCCTACGGCTGGGCTTCGCGCAGATCCGGCCATGCTTGAGCTCGGCTGCCCTGCGGCGCTTGAAGGTGTCGACCTCTCAACATGCCACATTGTCATTGTCAGCCTTAATACTCACTACTACTCCCACCAGCACCACCACGACGACTACGACTACGACTACGGCGGCGTCTCAGTGTTCATTCCGCGGTTCCACCCAAGCCGCATCGGCCATTCACCCCAAACTCTCTTCGAAGCGGGAGGCTGCAGCATGAATGCTCGCTCCGGTGCTATGAGAAAAGACGGTACTACTCTCCCCTCGCTACCACCAAACTGCACAAGCCCGATTTGTGCCTGCGACAGGTCCTCTAAGCAAGCAATAACTGGACCAGGGTTTTGGGGAATATAGATTCAAAAACTCGAAGCAATAATAGCTGTCACTTCTTTATAGACTAAAACCCCCTGGGCCCCAGGCGTCCCCATCTGCCGACAGCCCAAGAGGGTCCCAGAAGCCCACGGGCGCTTGCACACCGAGCTCCCCTGTCGCGTTTGGGGTTTGGGTTTAGGGTTGAGTCGGACAGCATTATATAGACGGGAAGCCTCTCAGTGTAGCACCACGATTGCGAGCAGCAGCGGCAGCAGCAGGAGTAGTACCACCATCACCACTACTGCTGTTGCTGCTCCTACTGCTACTACTGCTACTGCCACTGCCACTGCCACTGCCAGTACCAGTACCAGTACCAGTACCACCACTGCTACTACCACCACTACTGCCACTACTACGAGCACCAGCACTAAAACCAGCAGTTGTAGGGTAAACACTTAAGTGGCAAAACTGAGGCTGAAGGTTCAAACTCACTGTTAGAAAGAGGAAATATGGGCTTGCTCGGACTTGCCGTCGGTAGACAAGATTCCTGTTTGGGGGGAGGGTAACAGAAGCGATGTCATTGGAGAGCATGCCGTGGGGTATGTTGTAGCTCAAGTTCTCAGCTGTCTCCGAATTAAATGTCTCAGATGTTGTGACTGTCTGTTCTATCCACCCTCCTACTGAATCTCTCGCCTGTAGCGGTCCCGATCTTCGGCCGTAGGATTAGTGGTCCAGAACCCCCGACAGCTACGCAAGATACCGCCTAAACTATTCAGAGCACAATTCCAAACATGGTAAGGTTTGGTGACTGCCACAAGGGCCCCCTTGGAGCGGAGTGTCTACTTGTGGTCTCCGCGTCATGGGAATGAGCAGGCTATCTAGCTAGCTACTTTGGCGTTTTATCTTTGGGACTAAGAACCCCTGAACCTTGAACCCTCAATCTATCCTCGACTCGAAACCTCGCTGAACCTCTTGGTTGGAGTCTGGAAGTCTTCCCCCCCCACTATGATGGCCTTCAAAAGCACCGGCAGGAAGCCACATGGCCGGGCCGGTTGTACCGAAGAACGCATTCCTCAGTGGGGTTTGGGGCTTGTGAAACTTAGGAGTTTCCGAAAATAAGGGGTACCTTATTTTGGGGTCCTTATAATAAGGAACCTATTATTTAGGGTACTATATTAGGGTCCCCTAGTTTCGGAAACCCCCATTTAGGGTGCAGGGTGTTACGGCTCAGCGACTCTAGCCTTTGATCCATAGACATGCTATCTAAAATCTGGGCCAGGGCTCTGGGCAACCATGCCGGTGATGGCCACCATCGCCTTAGAAAGGGCTG